CAGTAGCAGCAATCACAAATTTTTAAAAAAATAATAAATTAACATGAATTAATTGGCGCGAGAGCAGGCGGGACCTGTTTTTAAACAGGTACTCGAAACCCGAAGAAAGGATTTCGACAAAAGTCAAGCTTCAGGTGGAAGCCAGTAACTAATGTGAAAAGAGTAACGTATGTAGCCTAAAAGCCCGCGACGCGGATCACTAAGATTACGGTAGTTTACAAATAAAATTTTTAAAAAAGTGAAAGTAAATAAAAACATTGAGACAAGAATTGTGAAAAATTGAAAAAAATATCAAAGAAAATAAAAAAAAACTCCTGAAAATTAAAAAACAAAGTAAAGTAAAAAAAGTGAGAAGTTAAAAAAAAAAATAAAAAAAAATTTCAAAATAAAAATGATAATTACAAAATGAAAACTTAAAAAAATAAAAAAAAAAAAAAAAAAAAAACTGTGAAAACTTAAATGCCAAAGTAAATAAATGAAGTGAGAAATAAAAGAGAAACAATTGTGAGAAATTATAAAAAAAGAGATAAAAAATAAAGCAATTTAAACAAGTTTGAATGAATATAATAAAAATAAAGTTAAGACAGAAATAAAAATTAAAATAAAAAAAATGTTTGAACAATATTAAATATTTTAACAATTATAAATAAAAGTGAAAAAAATCGGACACAACAAAACTTGAAACTTTGAAAGGACTAAGAAAACGATCATCTCATCTCATCTGTACTAGAAGGAGCTACTCCAGCTCTAATGATGCTGCTATGTAAGAATAACTTTAAGAATTCAAATTAAGAACAAATTTAGTTCCTAACATTTTATAGTTATAGTTATTTGTTACCTATGAATTTTTTTTTTTGTTCCAATACTGATAAATAACGTAACTTTGATAGCTCCACCTTTCCTTTTGATAAGAGAAAAAAATGTTAGAATCAGTGGATGATATTGCCGAAACATTAATAGAATTACGATGAATCCATCTTCAAATAACATGGAGACTCAAACAAGGGCAAACACCCTTACATCAGGTAGTTCAGCACTCACGGACAGACAAAGAAATGAAATCACACGAATGATTACAAACCTTTTGGCCGGACGAGACGAAACGTTTGACGATGGTAGTGACATACCGGTAGGAACAGTCTCCTCGAGACTGGAGGAACTGGACAAAGTTCCAGATATAGTGAAATCCTTGAGGGAATTTTCGGGAAAAACCCGGAGAATTCAGCTCTTGGAGGAAATCAGTCGAAAGGGTGATTGATTTATACTCATCACTTCGTGGTACCGGGAAATACTACGCAATTTTGCATACAATTCGTACGAAAATTATAGGTGAGGCCGATACTGCTTTAGAATCCTATAGGACTCCATTGGATTGGGCCAAAATACGCAAATGTCTGATGGTGTACTACGCGGAATATAACGAGATATAGTAACACTAGAGTACCAAATGAATGTTTTGTGTCAGGGGCACAGAGGTGTCACAGAGTTCTATCAGGACCGTCTATCAACACTATCTCTAATTTTGGATAAGGTTTCCTGCCTGGAATTGGACGACGGTAGTCTCAGAGCCATGACGAATACATATCGAGAGAAGGCACTTGATACCTTCATAAGAGGCTGAACGGCGACCTTCCTAGGCTGCTCAGTGTCGAGGGTCCTACATCTCTACCAGAGGCTCTACATCTTTGTTTGAAGCTAGACAATATGGCATTTCGGAGAGATTATGCCCAGAAGGGAGGCCATAGACAGGAACCATTGAGGATGTCAACTGGTTCGGAATTTTACCCAGAATTGGCAAATATTCCGACTCATAGGCCTAGAGTATCCCCAGCTTTTCCATTTCCGAACAATTTGAATATGCAGAATCAGCGTCCTCAGTTTGGGGGACAACCATTTGCTCATCGTCCTCAGCAATTCTTTCAACGAAATCAGATGGGAGGACACCAAATCACTCGTCCTTATACGTGAACCCAGAATTTTCCTCAGAACCAATTTAGGCAATTTCCCTCACAATTTTACAATAACCAGAGTAAGCCAGAACCCATGGATATTGACAGGTCAATACAAGTAAGACCCCAACAGAACCAGAATTTAAAAGACCTGCCCAGTTTTCGGTACAGACTCCTATGAATAAGATTCAGCGTAAGTTTCATGTAAACGTGGATAATCAATACCCAGATATTGAGAACCAATCCCCAAATATCGACGAATTACCGAGACAACAGTGACTATCAGCCAGTAGACGAAAATGACACAGGGAATTACGGACAACAGGATATAATACCGGACGATTACCAGGAACGTAACCCCGATGACATTCCAGCCAACTTCATAGATATGAATTTTTTAGGATTAAACTGTTCCTCGTTGCCATACTTTCAAGTCAAAACGAGGGACGGGAAGACATTAGACTTTTTATTGGATACAGGAAGCAGTAAAATTATATAAGACCAACTTTGGTCCTGAGACCCAAGTTGAATGACAATAGTTTAGCGTAAAATCTGTAGGCGGCGATGTGGAAGTTTCACACCACACTCCTTCTTAACATGTTCGGCGTCAATGACGTCCCACTAAAATTCTTCCTTCTACCTGGTTGGTATCTTTCGACGGGATTTTGGGGAATGACAGCTTGAAGGAATTATCGGCAGTAATTCATACTTCCGAAGATTATTTCCAAGTAAGAGGTGGCAAGAAAATTGCCATTAGACAGAGAATATCCCAGAATGTTAATAGTCTGGAGCTGGAGGCTGATCATCTATCATTAAGTCAGAGGAGTTCTCTCATAATATTGCAAGGCAGCACCGGAACCTGTTCTCAGATCCGGATGAGAGATTAACATACACCTCTGTTGTGGTTGGAGAATCCGAACTGTAAACGAATCTCCAATCTATACGCGAAGTTATCCTTACCCAATGGCATTAAAAGATGTCGTGGAGGAAGAGATCGTCGTCTCCTTCGGGATGGCATCATAAGACCATCCAGATCCCGTACAACTCCCCTATTTGGGTAGTGCCCAAAAGGAGGACAGTTCTGGTCGAAAAAAATATCGTTTGGTCGTTGACTTTAGAAAGCTCAACGCCGTCACCCATACCGGATAAATATCCGATTCCCGAGGTGACGGAAGTCCTATCTAACCTAGGGGGGAATCAATATTTTACGGTCATTGATCTTAAAAGCGGTTCCATCAAATACCCCTACGGGAGGAGGATAGACAGAAAACCGCATTCTCAATCAACAATGGCAAGTACGAGTTCACGAGACTGCCATTTGGCCTGAGGAACGCGCCAGCAATATTTCAGCGAACGCTGGACGATATACTCAGAGAATTGATTGGAAAAATCTGTTTTGTTTACACCGATGATATTATCATCTTTGGCAAGGACGAGAAGTCACACGCCGAGAACATAAAGAAAGTTTTCCAAACACTAGAGTCCGCTAATATGAAGATCCAGTTGGACAAGTGTTCATTCTTTAAACAAGAAGTGGAATTTTTGGGATTTATTGTGTCGAGGGATGGTATAAAAACCAACCCAAAGAAAGTGGAAGCCATTCTTAATTTCCCGATTCCTAAGACACTTAAGGAACTTCGTTCTTTCCTTGGCCTCTCGGGCTACTATCGAAGGTTCGTAAGGGGATATGCCGATGTAGCAAAGCCGCTGACATCGCTCCTCAGAGGGGAGGAAGGCAGAATTCCAAAGACAGCTTCAGTCAAATTCCGGTGACATTAGATGTTTCCGCCGTAGAAGCTTTCAACGAGCTAAGAAATGCATTGGTTTCAAACGATGTGATACTTGCGTATCCAGATTTCAGAGAAGATTTTGACCTAACGACGGATGCCTCCAGTGTCGCTCTTGGAGCAGTGTTGAGTCAAAGGGAAGACCAATTGCATTCATTTCAAGAACTCTGGATGAAACAGAGGAGCATTACGCCACAAATGAGAGGAAATGTTGGCCATCATATGGGCCCTCACTACCTTGAGGAATTATCTATACGGATCGAAGAAAGTATAATTTATACCGACCACCAACCCCTCACTTACGCCATTAGTAACAAAAATAAGCAATATGAAGATGAAAACGCTGGAAATGTACTCTGGAGGAATATAATACGAATTGCGGTACAAACCCGGAAGACAGAATGTCGTAGCAGATGCTCTGTCTAGAACGGTACAGAAGGACAATAATGCTATTACTCCGATTAATTCACTGACTCCCACACAGCATAGTGCATAGGGCACCCGAACAAATAATGGGAAAAATTCAGAACATTTATCCACTCCATTTTAGCCAGTACAAATGCAGGTTTACTCAGAAGGTAGTAGAAGATATATTATCAGAAAATGACCAGGAAAGAATAATTATTGATACCCACAATAGAGCCCATAGGAACGACAGAGAGAACAAAACACAGATTTTGGAAAATTATTATTTTCCGGGGATGTCGGGAAAAATAAAGCGAATTATAAACTGTGCACGACGTGTAAGAAAAACAAATACGAGAGACATCCCAATGAACCTTACCTTTGTGAGACGCCTATTCCAAATTACCCAGGTCATACTATTCATATTGATATATTCTCTACAGATAGGAAATTAGTTCTGACCTCCATTGACCAATTCTCAAAGTACGTTAAAGTGAAAATACTAGACGGAAGATCTACTGAGGCTATTAGAAGACCACTGAGGGAATTATTATTCTCTTACGGAGTTCCGAAGAATGTGGTAATGGACAACGAACCGTCTTTAAATTCCAGTTCGATATTATTCATGATGAAGGACGAATTAGGAATAAATATTTTTACGACCCATCCTACAGGAGCGAGGCTAACGGACAGATAGAACGCTTCATTCTACCCTCGCTGAGATAATGAGATGTTGAAAGGTGATGGAACATCCAGGAATTTTGAGGAATTACTGGAGAGGGCTGTTAATGATACAATCACTCGATTCACTCCACGGTGAATAGAAGACCTGTTGATTTGTATTTTGGACGCACAATTGACTTTTCTCCACAAGACATAGAGACTACCAGACGGAATATGTTGACAAACTCAGACAGAAACAGGCCAACGACTTGACGTATCATAACAAAAAGAAACGACCAGTTAAGGATTATATTCCCGGACAATTAATTTATGTAAGCAACAACAAAAGGTTAGGAACGAATCTAAGCGACCGTTACAAAGAGGAAATAGTTAAGGAAAACCGGAATACCACCGTTTTGACCGAAAGCGGAAGGGTTATTCACAAAAGCCATATTAGAAATTAATAAAATCCTAAATTCTACAGATTGTTTCCTGGAAACGCCCTGGCTGACTTCAGCATCCTCGACTACTCGAACGCAAGACTCATTTCAATTCATAATGGAATAGCAAGGAAACAGAACGGGACATTTAAAGTAATTCATTCAATAGATCTTGAACAGTATGAAAACCTCACTCGTGAAACCGAACACATTCTGGACAAATTCGTGAACCTAGACCATCCTCTCCGTCCATTTATGAAGCAACAATTAATTGACATCAATGGACTATTAGACCGTCTGATGCCGCACAGAGAGAAAAGATCGATAGACTTCATAGGAAGTGCTGGAAGTGGATTGCAGGCAGTCCAGATAGTAATGATTTTCAGATCCTAGAACAGAAAATTGGCAATATTTTGGAAAATAACAATAGACAGCTGATAATAAACCAATTAATTTCGGAAAGAATAACCGAAATAACTAATAAGACGAATGAAATGATAAAAAGGGAAGGGTGGAACGATGAAGTAGTATTCAAAATCGAAAGAAAACTTAATTTTATTGAAAAAGAGTTACAAAACGTAGAGTTTGCAATACAGTGGGCTAAAGCTAATATCGTCAATTCATTTCTGCTTTCTAAAATCGAAATCGATCAAATAAACACTGTTTTTGAAAAATATAATATTCCTACTTATTCGATAGATGAACTATTAACTTTTGGATCCGTAAAAATTGTTACAAATAAACGAGAAATTTTGTACATCCTTAGTATCCCTGTAACTCAAGAAGAAGTTTGTAAAGTATATTTCATAAAACCTATAAAAACTGGAGATGTAATTGATAAAATTGAATACGAAAAAATTTTGGAATGTAATAAAGAATTATTGGGAATAAAAACAGAATGTAAAAGTAATTACGACATAACAATTTGTAATAGAGATAAGCTTATTTCATTAAGAAATGATAATTGTATAACTAATTTGTTCAAAAGTAGAGTAGGGAAATGCACCCAAATAAACAACGAACACATACCAACAATTGAAGAGATCGGATCGGACTTGCTCTTGCTGAACCAATATCAAGGCGCTATCAGTGTAGACAACGAGCAGATTTTTTTAAACGGAACTTATCTCATCAAACATTTCAACGTCACTATAAGAATCGATGGCCACAGTTACAGTTCAAGAGGAATAAGTGCCAATAAACCTCTTCCCGCCTTTTTGCAACCAAAAGGTCCAAAAGACGAATTAGAAGAAGTAATATCATTGGAGCTGCTTAAACAGTTGAACGTAAAGAACATCGAACGAATACGATCTATGGAAACCAAAGGTACCTTAGCAGTCGGCATCGGTTGTGTTTCTGCAATAATCCTTACAACTATAACAATAATATCACTGAGAAGAAAATATGCAAAAAACTCCGAAAATAATAATCTGAAAATCGAAGATGCCCCAGGAGATGAAATAGAGATTGCGGAAGTAAATTTACCTACAACTTCGAAAGAAACTAAAACATCCAGCATTTACAATATTCATTCATTTTGAACAATCGGGACGATTGTATTTAAGAGGGGAGGAGTTAACACCAGACATATTCAAATTCAACATTAGCAACCCAAAGAATTCATCAACCAAAGTATAAGCGTGTCATTTTGCTGACACTGCAGTTCCCACCGAAACACTGACAACAACATCCAACAGGCAGACAGCAACATTCCATCGCCAACACGAGCAGGTGTCCAGTATCATCTGGGTGCATGAATCCAAAGTATAAGTTAGGGTAGTTTTATTTCATTATTTACTTTGTAGTCCGGAACCTTAACCAATAAAGACGTGATTGCTTGCAGTAAGCAGCAATCACAAATTTTTAAAAAATAAATAAATTAACATTGAATTAATTTATATACTTTGTAGGGTCTGTTATGAATATTTCGAGGAGTTACAAAGTTCCATCATTTAATGGAGGGTATAAAAATCAAATGGGTTTTTTATTAAGGAAATGTTTCAGAACATTATTATTTTTTACGAAGAATTCATAGCGCAATCATAAAAGCAGGTAGCCTTGGTTTCCCTCCTCATAATGTGAATGCCTGTTTTTTCTGAAAGAACAATTTGTATGACACACTATTCAACATCCCCATTTATTAGTCAATGCATCTTATGACGGTAGGTTAGAGTAAAGGTAGAAGAATAAAGGTAGATGCAACAACGCTTGGGAACATTAGTATTTCAAAAACTTTAAAGTGTGTTGTCAAAAATAATTAGATTTTTAGACAATCTTTTGTTAGCTGACAAAGACTTCTATAAATCTGGTCCGATAGATATTATTCTTGGCGTTGATATATACTTTCATGTAATAAGTGAGAGCATTTTCAACCGGTCAGGCCAACCAACAGCACAGAACACAATTTTCGGATGGACTATATATGGATTATATACTCATTTAATTAACCATCGCTCAACTCTCGACTTGTTAAAACTGGGTTACAATCAATAATGTGAATCAATTATTTTATTTAACATATGTAATAATATATACTAAGAAACATTTGTACTCTGAATAAGCAATGAATTTGTAACTTTAATAATATACCTCAGTGGATTTTACTATTTAAAAATCTGCTGAATTTATCAAATCGCAAGGAGTATGATGTTTTTTAGTTTTTGTTTTTAATTTCTAGGGGGCCGAAAATGTTTGTGTTCAAATAAACAACAATTGTAACGGTTATTGACAATCCCCTAATTCCCAAACACTTAATAAATCCACAATTCTTGACAGGCTATTCTAAAATATGTAGTTATATCAAACTATTCCAAGCCAACTTCAGTCATACTTTCCTTTTACGCCAAACCTAAAAAAATAGATTTCTCCTTATAAAATCGACTTTCATACTGATACGACGTGTTCCAAATAAAGTAAACCCCAGCATTCTCAACCTGATTCTGTCTCGTAATCATAATTACTGGAATATCGATTTATGCGAGATTGGTGGAAAGCATTTTACCTGTTAATATGCTCTTGAATACGTGTTTTTCTCAATCTATGTTATTCTTCCTATAATAAACCGTTCTTTATACAGGGGAAAGACTCTGACACAATAAGTGGAAGAACTAGTGCAACGATTAAAATATTAGATTAAACGAACTTAACTTGTATCTAAAAGTTTCTAACGAAACCGACATGATACAATGAGGAGATAGAACAGTTTTGTAAAACTACAGAAATACTATACAGGCTATGCCCACTTCTGTCACAATTTTTCAAAATGATATTCAACAACTTGCTTTTATTTATTTTGAATTTTTCCTCATATTTAAATGAGTTAAATATAGAGAAAAATAAAGGAAAAACCTGAATTTGTTTATAATATAAACTGTGAAATCTTTCATTTCCAAGGCAAAAGTGGTTAATCGCTTAATATGCATCCCGCTATATACGTTTCATCCAATCATTGATTTTTAAAAAAATATTTAGTTTCTATTTTTTAAAACAACAAATACATACATAAAATTGGCAGAAGCCGGGCACACCTAGAAAAAATTGTAATCACCTGGTAGCTCTACCATACCTTTTTATACCCTCCACAATAGTATGGAGGGTATATTAAGTTTGTTATTCCGTTTGTAACGCCTCGAAATATACATCTTAGACCCCACAAAGTATATATATTCTAGATCAGCATAAAATTCTATGTCGATTTATAAATGCCCGTCCGTCTGTCCGTCTATCCGTCTGTCCGTCTGTGGAAATCACTCTAGCTTCCGAACGAAATGAAGTTAGGTTTTACTCAAATGTGTATTATGTCTGCAGGACTTTTGGTATTGAAAATGGGCCATGTAGGTCTACGTCTTCGTATAGCCCCCATATAACGGTACCCCCCCCCCCCCCCCCCCCCGTTATTCGTTATTCTGATGATTTAGTGACATTATTTACTGGAATTTTTCAAATTTAATATTTGAAGTCCGTAATAGACACTACAGCATAAAACAGAAAATGGGTCATGTAGGTCCACGTCTTCGTATAGCCCCCATATAACGGTACCTCCCGATATTCGTTATTCTGATGATTTTAGTGACATTATTTACTGGAATTTTTCAAATTTAATATTTGAAGTCCGTAATAGACACTACAGCATAAAACAGAAAATGGGCCACGTAGGTCCACTTCTTTGTATAGCCCCCATTTCGTTCGGAAGCTAGAGTGATTTCCACAGGACGAACAGGCGGACGGACATTGAAATCGACATAGAATTTTATGCTGATCAAGAATATATATACTTTGTGGGGTCTAAAATGTATATTTCGAGGTGTTACAAACGGAATGA